TGGCTTACAATTGTACGTGTACACAAATTTATATAAATATTATTGCTTACTTACATATAACAATTATGAAGAACAAAGTAACATTATCGACGCTACCTAAGCATTTATAAAGCACAAGGGGATTTATAACTGTACTCAAACACGAGGGCCCTATTTGTAACATTGTTTTTGTGTTGCTTCAATTATTATCATGTAAAGCACGCTAAACACAAATACAAACTGCCGTAGATATATACATATCGATCGAAAAGCAATCGGTATGACGTCACGATCATTCCCGCGCGTTTAGTGTCGTTTAAAAGGAAAAGCCGTGTCACAACTTGAATTATTTATTGCAACTTAAATATTCGGTTTTACGTTTTGATGTTTCGTATGCGTTATTTCTATACACAAACAAATGTATGAAAGAAATTTAAAAAAAAATGTTCAAGTTCCCTATTGGCCCTGACGTTCGATTTAACATTTTCGTTATTGCAATGTTGCCGGTTCGATCCGAAATCACTGGCCACAATGAAATTGCAAATGGAACATATTTTTTGTTATTCGAATTCGACATAAACTTTTACTAATTGTTCCTACAATTATCAATCTTGTTAGCAAAAAAATAAAATAGAATTTTTTACATTAAAACTCCCTCTTCGATAAAGTCTGACGGTGAAAAATAATTATTCAATTAAAACTTTGATAGCTAATAGATGTACTTAAAAACCACGAAAAGGTGCACTTTTAATAATAATAATAATAATAATAATGGTAACATGACCCAATTTCAGGAAATATTAAATATAAATCATACAATATATATACACAGGGGACGTAAAAACTAATCTTATAACTAAAACAAAAAGGAGGAAAGAGTGATAAGTAAAAGGATAAGACTTGTGATTAACCCGACGCCAATCGAAGTTGCCTTTTGAAGGTAACTCACATATTGTAAATAGGGCTTTGAAAATGTATATTGGACCTGGGTAACTGCTGTAAGAAAGTTGATTGACATCTCTCTTCCAGCTGCGGCACATGAAATCGCAATTGTTTCAGAAGAATAGGACTTCTAGAGAAATGAAACAGATTGCAAGTCTCTGCGCAAGCTTAGAGAAGATCATTATCAGCTTCCCTCTCAGGATAGGAACCGTCCTCCCTGAATATTAGATACGTCAACCTTCTCTGCACACTCTCAATGGGCTGAGCGTGGCAGTTATATATTGGTGACCATACCGGCGGGAAATAGTCAAGCTTGGACCTAACGTAACAGTTAAATCTAGTTTTAGGTCATAGGCAAGTATATGGCAGATGATCGAAGATATTAGATCGTCCATAAATATATTGAAGAGAACTGACGACGGTTCCCTAGATAGGACCTCAACACTGTAATCAGCGAATCGGAAAAATCAAATTTTTGAGATGCTTTTTTTCAATCAGTAAGTGATGATCAATCTGGTCAAACGCTTTGTGGAAGTCTATATAACGTCAACTTGATCTTGCTTGTTCAGAGAGTCACAGACATACGAAGACAGGGAGCATAAGTTGGTGATACATGATCTTATCGTATAAAAACCATGTTGTTGCGTAGATAATTTATTTCTAACTTGAGCAAAAATAAATTTTTTTAATATAATCTCGAATATTTTATAAAAATTGCACAAGATCGAAATAGGTCGGTAGTTTTCAACTATAGAAGGATCACCTTTTTTGAGAATAGCATAAACTATGACATATTTCCAAGGCTCTGGATAAACACCCGTTTCAAGTATCAGGTTAAAAACGTGACATAAAGGAGTACACAGTCTCTTACGATAAAACTTGGTATGCCATCAGGACCGGCGGTAATTTTGTTTTTGAGTGCTTAGCTTGCTGATAAGACATCCTCGATGGTAAGCAGGTATATTGACTTGATCGAGATTAAAGGACATTGCAAAAGTTGCGACAACCACTGATGGCTGATTAGAATAGGACGTCGTGGCTAGGATTTGCGGATCTGCCTTTTAGGTTGAATAAATGACCAGAAATTGGTAGGACCATCATGTATGCTTAACTCAGCACGACGAACAAAATCACTATAGTCAATGAGCGACTGGAAATTAATTGACTGCTTGACATTGCGGAAAGCTCTCGCTCCTTATCAAATATATTTGCGATCATTTCTTTGGTCAACCATGATGGAAATCGCCTTCGTCTCGGTGTTTTAGTGGGCGTGAAAACGGCAAAAATATTGTTTACAATGACGTAAAAAAGTGTCAAAACCTTGTCGACATCCGAGCACTCCGTAACACTATTCCAGCATGCTACATCAGCTACATTCAGAAAAGTTCTTAACTTCGAAGCTGCCAGCAGAGAGGGAAATGTAAACTAGAAAGACTTAACATACAAAATAATCTAAAATGCTTCAGAAAGAGCACCATTACTGATGACGGAGGTATCCGGAAGTGCGGATTCAACCGCACCTGAAGACTGACTGACTGACTTGTAAACCAGATAAGAATCCGAGAAGAGTTCAGAGTCTTGCACATGCAGGTCAATTCTTTGGCTGAGATGTATATTAGGATCAGATTGTTTTTTCCATTGGAGTGAAGATGTTGTAGTTCTTTTTTAATATCCCGAATATGCTTACGTAGCGCCAGAGAAAGATCCGCCTCGACGTAAATTTGGTGATTCTCAGCGTTCTCCTACTCTTGAGCACAAGTGACACATCGCTGGGTTTAGACCGTGTTACTTTAACTAGTTTATAGCCATTGCGGTTCAGTTTACCGACGGAAACAACGTTAGTGACATCAATCTGTGTAGACCCACTGCTGGAAAGCAGTGCAGGGAGTTGAAGTGATTCTGGAATGCTCTCGTGGCGGCGAAGATTAAAAATCATCAAATTGTGCTTGCCTGCCTCTGCAGAACTTCTTGAAGAATGCCGTTATCGTGATTTTTTTCGGCGGCTGTAGTGCTATCACTGCAATTTGATTTCTAAGATCTAAGATTAGCATTAATTTTGACTTGGTCCTTATATCTCGCCAGCAGATTGGCATACTGAGTTTCGATGCTTATTAATTTTTCCATTATGTCGTTCAAAGATACTTGGTTATGGGTTATTGCTGTGTTGAAGATATCACCATCAGATATATATTGGAGCGACGCAGCACCCGGTCCAATTCAGCCACACGGGGGTTGCTATTGGAGGTTTGCTTGCTGACACAAATTAAGCAGGTCGAACAGCGATAGACAGCACGCACTTTTGAGAGAAATATAATAACAAGCGGAAACAACGGAATGTGTTTGATGTGTATTTCTTAGTGACAAAAGTGCGAAATAAACATCATACTCAAAGTAACAATTAATACAAATGTTCAATGTGTTCAACCATTTTGCCCTAGAGATTCCTCAATGCGAACCTTGTAGTCGCGCCCGCTATTACAAATGGATTTAATGAGTCTCGAGTTTTACGTATTCGAACAATTGATTTGTCAAAATTATTTATGGGAGTTGATTTTCTGCCGCCCAAAGATGTTAATTGGGTGTCTATTAAAAATACCTTCCCTTGCAAATTTGTACTCATCAGCACAAATTATTTTAAGCAAGAAATCCTCTTTGGTATGAATTAGGAATATCTATCTTGTACCCGAAGTAAAACTTTCTCCATGAAGAAAGAGTGGACGCAGTATTAAATTTATAGGGGTGGTGTTCCATGTCAACGAAATTTCTTCAAATATCTAAACCTTATTCGCTGAGTTCATAGAGGCTCTAAGATATGCATGACAGTAAGCTACAACAATGATGATATTTCCCTCACTTGAAGTAACCTCCTTCCACAAAACTCTTCAATACCACCATTCATTGAACAATCTGTAAGTTCTATTAACACTCATGTTTTACGAATCAATTTAGAATTTCAGCAGAAGAATATGGATTATTTGGCATAATTTCAAAACTACAAGTGCGTCTAACATTTAAATTGTTATGAGTGGCCTATGACAATGGAGAATATCATTTCATCATTTCCTAAAAAACGGTAATAGGAATACGTATAATTTTGTAGAAAATTTTTTGGCCTAGTCGACGGAGTACACTTTCTCGGCGTCCCCTGTATAAAATATTGTCGATTATACATTGCATTAAGTACATTCATTAGCTATCATCTGTGAAAGTGTTAATTGAATTATTTGTTTTTAAGAAAAAATATGCTTTATCGAAGCGAGGTTTTACAAAAATAAAATTCCATTTTTGTACGAATAAGATAACAGATAATTGCAGGACCAATTAGCGGAAGTTGTTTAAATTTTTATGTCGAATTCGAAAATGCAATAAAAAAACTATATGTACCATTTGAAATTTCAATTTTGGCACTGTTTTCGGGTAAAACCGGCAACATTGCAATAGCGAAAATATTTTTAAACTGTACCTCAATTATACACCAAGTGTGATTGGTTCCCATAAATTCACCGTGGGAAACACTGTATCTATCTTACATCCAATTGGATAATTAGGGTTTGCGTAGTTTACACCAATAAATAATACGTTAAAATATATTCAATAGCTTATTTTATTTAAATGAATTTATTTAAGGAATGGAAGGAAATTAGAGAGGGAAATAAAGCAAAATGTTCATTTTCTCAGTTGTACCTTGGTTAAACTACACAGCAAACCCAATGATTAAGATTTGTTAAAATCGCTCATTATTTTTATTTTAGAATCACTTAATTACTAAGGTGTGGAAACTGCATATAAGCAAAGTCTTGTATATTGAATAAATATAATCAAAATAAACCAAATTCTGAACAACAAATTATATCAACTATATATTTTTGGTACAAAACTAAATTTGAAAAGCAGTAATAAATTGGAGTGTCAATTAATAAAAATGAAAAATATTACACATTCAAAGTTACTAAAAAGAAAGAGTTAATGCTGTCCACTATTATATTGGAGGACATATTTATTCAATATTCAAATCTTTTGCAAAGTTTGAAATGCATCCAGTTGAATTGACCCAGAGACTAGAAGTACTACTGGCCTACCTTATTGACGATTTGTTGTTGTTTCAGATGCTTCTGTCGCAAAAGTGCAAGTTCTCGCCAAAGAACAGTATTTTCTTGTTTCATTGCAGTCAATTGGGAGTCGATATTAGTTTGACGGCCTCTGAGTTGCTTCACTTCAGTGAGTACTTTCGTCAAATCATCTTGATTACTAGGGTCTTGCGCTCTAGTAGTTGTAACCTGCAATGAATACTAAAAGTCAGATGAAATCTTTACCTTTAAGAGCTCTCTCTAATTTTTAAAAAAACTTGTTTGATGAGAATAGTTTTAAGTTCAGACACCTTTCGCTTTATGTTCTTTAGTTTTTCAGGTTGGCCTTTTTGAAAACACGGGTGGTAAAACTGAATTTCGTCCCTCTCAGCATCCATACTTCCGCTATCGATAGAAGCAATTTTGTGAAATCCATCTGAAATGAACCACAAATAAATCAATTCTTAAACTCCTTTTGTGAATTTATAACTATTTTTCACCAAAACAGTATCTCATAACTGCTATTTGTCGGAAAACACAAAAGAGACTTAAAAAGATACATTGTGGTCTGCCACAGAACAGATTATTCATTTCCCATAGACATAAATGTCCATTTAAAACGTTCTTTCTAGTAAGTACAAAACTCCAGAAGAATCGAATAATATGTAACCTCCACTATTGTCAAGCGCTATTCTATTATTGCGGGGCGTCAATGGGCAAATAGGGATTAATCAGCGACAAGACGGATATTGAAAAAGCCCTTATATGTGTAACTGGCAATTCACCGAAGTGCTACTAGGGTAGTAAAAGAGTAAGGATGTCTCATAATACTTACACATATTGAGTTGCCGAACAAAACTACTCATATTATTATGTTTGTAATAAGCTGGCAGCAACTCACACCAAAAATCAAACTGGTTCCGTATTATAAAGCTATTTCCATTCTGCAAAAAAAAAAAAGGTTAAATGAGGGACTGCGTCACTCACTTCAAATAATTTTTGAAAGTCGCTACCGCGACGTTGCAATATGACACTGCTACAAAACAGTCGGGTCTAAAATCCATATCAAACTTACGGGGCCCCAGTGGATAACGTGATCAGTGGCAGGGTCATCTACCATCTTCCACAATTTGCCCAAAAAGGCAGGCACATTTGCATTTTCTATGGCTCCCGGCTGCATTATATCTTCCTCTAGAGACACAACAACAATTACTAAATCAAATAGTTGCGAATTTCCAGCTAATCGACTTACATGGGGATGCCGGATAATAAACGAACTTAAAACGAATAGCAAAATGTAACTAAACAATACCACCGTCTGTCAATCTCGATCCTTAATCCCCCACCTTACCACTGAACCAGAGAATAGCAGGAAGATTTTGGTTGGTTAGAAAATAATAAAGGAAACAAATTTTTCACGTTTTGTTAAAATGTTACATTTATATCGGCATTGTGCTGATAAAATGTTATAAATTTGATGTTCTGTAGTTTACATGAATAATTAAAATAACACTTTATTATATATTATACTAATTTGGTTTGCACTAAATGCACAATATAACTGATAAGATGCCGAAATGTGCAAACTCGATGCGTATTTAATTAATTAATTTAATTTTTCCATCGTATTGCCAAAACACTAAAGACAGAACATAAAATCCCCAAACCGTTCCCACCCCAGTATCGATCTTTTTTGTTAAATTATTAGAGCGAAAGACATAAAGTACAATAATGTGAGCGGACGGGAAAACAAAAAATGCACACCGCTTCGCTCCATTAAACACATCGCAAATCTCAAATCACTAAGTTGAGCGGTAATTGTTATCGATTGATGAAATGAATAAATGATACAGCGCGACAATTTAAACCCCAAATATCGGTAATTTTCAATAAATTATTTATTTTAAACGACATTGACATTTACCTACACTTTGGCATATCCGCCGCACAATCGCGCAAAGCCGGACGATATGGTGACGATAGATAATTTTGCTTCCAAATTGTACGCACTCCTTATCAGCGAAAATCCCAATGGTAAGGCTAGGTGTTTATTGACTGCTTTTTGTAAGATATGCTGCTGAACTGCTCGTTAGTTGGTGCTACACTGTTTCGTGGTTAATGCAAAAGTGCATTTAACAATTTGCCTGCATTATTGATCGCTTATTTATACTACCGTATTTCCGGGCAAGCACCGCCTTGCGCAAGATCCATATCTTCTGTCATTGTCTCACGTATCTCGAAACGCATCTATCTGTTGCGCATTTTCCAGACCCGGAGCGGGTTGCTATAGCTACTGCAAGGGACTTCGTAGCTACCCAAGGTTTGGTATTTTTAGACATAGCTCGTTTCCAGATGGGAGTTTTAAATTATATTGACAAACCGTCAAAATCAACACCAACACCTACACACAGCTGCAACGCTTGCACTCGATTCGCCTATCTGCTAACTACCTACTTACTTTTGTTGACTCTTTTTTAATTACTTATCTGTAATCAGTATATGGCTAGTTTACACTGAAATACGGGTCGATGCGTAATATTTGATCTGCTTGATTGTTTTTAGAATTAGAATTAAAATGCCAATTTCCAGGCAAACATAAGCGAGCAATTATCCCACTTTTTTAAATTCGATTTTTGCCTTATATATTTTTATATATATGCTTTATATATTTTATATGTTTTCCTAATATATTATTATATTATTTTTCCAATGCGATTAAGATTTTAAAACTTTGGAAATCCATTTGATTAAAATTCTAACTAAAATTAGACGCGAAAAATCTATCATACTGCTTATATCACTTTCCTGATTGCGGTGAATTTAATCTACATAAATGATTATTAACTTTTCTATGCGAATATGCTTTTTATACTTTGGAAATCCATTAATAATTAATTATGTGGCTCCGATTAGACACGAAAAAAATATCATTCCGCGTATATCACTTTCCTGATTATAGTGAACTTAATAAAGAAAACTCATTACCACTTTTCCTATGCCGTTAAGATTTTTAAACTTGATGATTAATGAAATTAAAAATGTAGCCACAATTAGCAACGAAAAAAAAACATCCTGCTTAATTCTTGATTATGTTGAGTTAAATATAAAAAATTCATTACCATTTAGTCGATTAATGATTTATAAAACCAAAAACGTAAAAATTTCTCAATATTTATGTCATAGGCTCTAGAGAACTAAGCGTATTTTGGAAGATAGTCGAATATAGTGCTGAATAGTTTCTGTACAACGTTTCGTTTTGAAGAACCAATCATCAACTTTGTTGACTCTTAGAACGTCGAGCCACAAATCTTTCATTTTCAGATGAAATTAAAGAGTGGAGACTGCTCGGGCAAGAACAAGATGGAGTGCTATTATTCAGTTGGGACCAGTCGACTAAAGATGATAATCCGAATACGCACATAGGCTTTTATCATTACGAAAAGAATAAGTTAAAATCGATCTACTGTTTCGGCAAAAAGGTGAACTGCATCCAAGCTTCCGTGGACGGTAGTAGACGATTTTTAGGTAAGTAAAGGACCGGTTAATTATTTGATGCCATTTTAGCTGCTTTTTAGCGTTTGTGGCGAAAGAGCAGAACGACGAAAACCAAGAGCTGTATTACAAGTCATATTTGCACAAAATAGGTAGCGAAAATGATTTATTTCAATTAGAGTTGGAAGGCACCAAACAAGCAATGGTGCAGTTTTTATATCCCAAGCAATCCGTGCTGTCCGAAGCTCAACCTCTTACGTTTCTATTAATGACCCATCAAGAAAGTGAGTATAATGGATATGAAACTTCCAATGCCGAAAATACGAAATATTTCAGACATCGTACATTACCAAATTAAAAATCAAAACGACGTGTTATCTGAAGAAAATTTAACAAAAGAGACGCTGGTCGGAGGTTTCATTTGGGCCCAGTGGGATCCAATTCATCAAACACTCTATTACATTCACTATAAAAAAGCCAAAAGGGGACTCATTGAAGGTGACGAAGAACTGCCTATCGAAAAAGACTGCAAAATTTCGCCAACATTATCTGGGTTACAATTTCACGACGAATTACCGCATGAGAGTGTCGTAAGTGTTGACACTCAATAATATTACAATCTTATTAATAATAAGAATTTAGAGTTTAATTGTTTTTCCTCTATATTAGATTGACTGGAACCACTTTGTAAAATGCCTTAAGAGTGGCTATCGGTTTTTGAAGCATTTCAATAATATGTGATTACGAATTTTAGTTGAACATACCTCTAAATTTGCCACGCGCATCGGCATTTTCGAACAACTGCAACATTTATGAAGACGACGTTCTTCCATTAAGGATTCACGATTGTACTTTGGATTTAATCGTGATCACCGACTCCAAGGGATTCTTTTGCGTGTGTCATCATTATCTGTATCAGGTGAATTATTGTGTTTCAAAAAAGCTTTTAAACTTAACGGATAAAAAATTTTAGCCTATACAAAGTGAAAATGAATTGGATGAAGACGACGAGTCACTTATCCACATGGCATATTCCGTCACAGTTTTGCATCACAGTTGCGTTTTACATTGCGTTGTTCCGGATATACCCTGGAAAAAGGCGAAAACTCTGAGACCGCTTTTCATTTTGCACGGTAAGTTTACGAATAATGGAGGAATATTAAAATTGAATTCATTACTCTTTCAGGAGAACATCTTTTGGTTCGTATCCCTGAAATATGCGCCCATATATTAGACGTCGGATTAATGCACGAACCATGCTGCCATATAACTACAAAACCATTTACGGAAAATATAGAACCTGAAATGCTATGTCTGACACCCATTCGTTCGATTAGGGCGAACTGTGCCGTGAATTTGGCAACTTTGGATTTGGTCGACGTTACAATTCCTACGAGCTTGTTGAAAGAAACTTTTAAAAGTGACACCTTGGTCGAAAACAAACTGTCCATACTACATTATTTAGTTTTGCACTCTGGGGATCAAGACGTGGCGTCGGAGGTATGCTAAATGGAAAATTTTCTTTGATGACGTTTGAAATTATTAAGTGATATATTTGTGAAAACCGAAGAGACTGACACAGTCTAACAATTTTTCTCTTTTGTGAGCACCCGTAGTTTACGTTTAAGAGTTTTACGTTGGAGTTTAAAAGAGCAAAAAGAGATGAAGATACCCCTACATTTTGGCTATTTAAATAAATACAGATATGAATTTTTGGGCGGTGATATTTAAATAGTTCGATTTCTCTTTGGAGAATATTTAATGATCTAATATCTACACAAAAAAAAACGAATTTTGAGTGAGTGAGTGAGTGATCCTATTCGTCCCGACTGTTTTAACAATAAGAATTAAAATGCCAATTTTCACGTAAAAAATGGGCCACAGGATCGTGTTATAGACTATAGAATTTTTTAAGTTCTACCATTATTGCCTTACATTGTTTTATTAGACACAAAAAAAGGCCATTCTGCCTATATCATGATCCTGATCATAGTGAATTTAATATAAAAATCTCATAACTATAAGGTTGTTCGGAAAGTCATTTCGTTTTTTCCCGTCAGAGGACTTAATTACGTTTTTTCGAAACCAACTTCACACTTAAGCCGCATAACCATTGAGAGCTGATATTGCAAGGCTTGTGTGTGAAAAAGTTCTATTAATTCTACGCAGCAGTTTTTGGTTGGTGCCCTTTTAAATATGATGAGCAATAATCAGCATTTTCGTCATATTTTACTTTTTTACTTCAGAAAAGGTAAAAATGCTGTCCAAGCGAGAAAAAAATTGACGCGTGTTAACAGTACGCCAGTGCCAGAACTGGTTTGAAAAATTTCGATCCGGCAATTTTGATGTCGAAGATGCACCACGGTCTGGAAGGCCGATCGAAGCTGACAAAGATGAAATAAAGGCATTAGTTGATGCAAATCGGCGAATAACCACACGAGAGATCGGTGAGAGATTAAATTTGTCGAATTCGACTGTTTATGGCCATTTGAAAGGCATGGACTTAACCTCGAAGCTCGATGTGTGGGTGCCCCATGTCCTTACGGAGCGAAATTTGTGTCGTCGCGTTGACGTGTGTGATTCGCTCCTCAAACGTCAAGAAAATGATCCATTTTTGAAGCGGATACGAAAAATGGGTTGTATACAACAATGTTAAACGCAAGAGGTCATGGAGCAGAAAAGATGAATCGGCTCAAAGCGTGCCAAAAAAGGTGATGCTCTCCGTTTGGTGGGATGTCAAAGGAATCGTTTTTTTTGAGCTTTTGCCGGACAATACAACGATTAATTCAGAAGTCTATTGTCATCAACTGGACAAATTGAATGATTCACTTAAAGAGAAGAGGCCCGAATTAATCAACAGGAAGGGTGTAGTGTTCCACCAGGATAATGCGAGACCTCACACAAGTTTGGTCACTCGCCAAAAACTTTTACAGCTTGAATGGGACGTACTGCAACATCCACCATATTCTAAAGATCTGGCGCCTTCCGACTGCTATTTGTTTCGGTCCCTGCAAAATTTTTTGGATGGCAAAACCTTTACCTCAAATGAAGATGTCAAAAACCACCTGAACCAGTTTTTTGCCGGCAAGGACCAAAACTTTTATGAGAGGCGAATTATGTTACTGCCAGAAAGATGGCAAAAGGTGTTGGACCAGAATGGCCAATATATAATTTAATAAAATATTTATTCATTATACGAAAACTGTCTTTCATGTTCCCCAAAAAAAACGAAATGACTTTCCGAACAACCCAATATATTTCCTATGCGATTAAGATTTTAGACCTTTGGAGATCGATAATGAAATACCTGAATTTTTGAGCGAATCTAATAAAATAAACAAGTTTTTGCCCTCTTCAGCTTCCTTGAATAAACAGCTCTTGGATTATTATCAAAATAAATGTAAAACGCATTTTCGAGTGCCACTTGAATTTGACACAGTTGATGATGAGAATATTAGAAAGTTTTTGTTTTAAATGAAGACTCTTGCGTCGGGAGAAGATGAATTAAATATTAATATGGTCCTTTTGAGCTGTCCTAGAATTCTTTCTTTTCTGACTAATATTGTCAATTCATATTCATTAGCTAAAGTGTTTTCGAAGTCCTCGAAAAAGTCCGAAATCTCAAATTTTAGTGATCTGGGGCCGATTAGTAATCAACCAGTATTATCAAAAGTCAAAGAAAATATAATAGACTTCCTTTAAATCATTCGAGTTTTAGACAAGGGTTTGGTTGTGCTACACAAGCTCAATAGTCCTTGATCATTCTAAAGCCTTCGATAGATTAAACCACGAGTTCTTCTTGCATCGATTGTTGTTGAGTCGAACTTGCTGTCGGTTTCTGCAGAATTTAACTGAAATTGTTATATATTGTTGGAGGAGGTTGCTTATAGATCTCTCTAGATTATCGGATTTGCGGAAATGCGACTGCATACTCAACATTTTGCCTTATCACCAGAGCACGTTTGGCTTAAAAATATGCATAAAATGACTCTAAATTTCTCATATTTCCATTAGAGTGAGTAGGAATGCCATCCAATCTATGTAGTATTGGTTTGATAATAGTTTCTTTATTAAAGTCTCCTTGATACAATTTTATTAGATGAGTGAGGAATGTAATTATCTGAATTATATAACTTAAAAGTAATTTGTTATAGCATGCTTTGCCTACCGCCCAATTGCTTAATGATATAATATATTGATCAATCATATCAAACAAATCATACTTATAATTAAATTTTATTAAATCTTTTCCATAACAACTGCTTCTCTCAGCTGTGGAATAAGGTGGCATTACAAATCTATCAGTTTTATTAAAAAGATTTGTTGTTTGCACTGTAACAATCATATCAGATGTATAGACCCACAAAAATTCACTGCAATAGCTGGGCATGGTGTGGAACAACTTCAATATCTAAAATAATTTTATTAAATTACCACATCATAACACTTTTCATTTTCAATTAGAGCAGAGCAAATATCCAAAAAGTGATTCATAATGTGTGGAAAGATATTTAAACTGGCTTCAAAATATTGGCTAAAATTACTTAAAGCATGCAAATTCATTAATTCACATATTATGTCAACTACTCCATCTTGTTCATAAATCAGTCATCAGTTTGTTGCTTCAAGAATTATTTCAGCACATTTACAATTCTATATAAAAAAATATTTTGAAAATATCGGGCGTTATGCAAACCTCAAATATTTCGCTTTTGAGCACATCACTCGATATTTTAAAGTCTTTTTTCTCAACAAGAACATTAATAGGGTTGTTGCAAGAGTTAAAAAAGTCTTTGGACAATGTGGATTGGAAAGTAAGCCAAATAAATAGAATAGCTACATTGTCTAAGCTTAGCTTATGTTGTACCTCTAAATCTATTTCCAATTGTTTGGGAATTATTTTACACAGCGCAACATGTATGATAAATAATTTAAGCAAATGAATAATTTCTTTGCCATCTAATTTAATTATATTAATAACTTGGATCATTACCAATACAATTTCCACTTGCTACGAGTCCAGTGAGATAGAGTGTCTTTGGAAACGCTGGTAGCTTTATCTTTACTTATTTCTATGATCAGCATTTCAAAACTTTCACACAAATTTTTCCAAAGATGTTCAATGTTTATACTATATACAAAATGGTTAAATTGATTGTAAACCATATGGTCCTTTTCCGAGAGGTTCTCCAATATATATCCAAGTGTATTTAGCATAAACATTCGGTCTGATGAACAAAAGTACCATATATGATATGTGATAATTGATTTTAATTCATCCACTTTACCGTAATAGTCAAATATTAAGAAATTGCAGATTATATACTATGCAATATTAGAATTGAGGTCTAATTCTTTACTGAGACGATGGATAAAGCTACACATTTCATCATCCTGAGAAATAGACATTTTTTTGGATAGCTCTTTCCATTCTGTAAATCCCTCCTTTGTATATTGTTTATATTCTAACAGGCCGGAAACTAGTTTCTTTTTACACAGGTCCAAAACATCTTCTACCAAGTCTGAAGTCACATTTTGATGACTTACAGATAGTATTTGATAAAATTTTTTCCAGACCCTGCAAATTTTTGAAAATTACACAAAAAAAAATTAAAACGTAATTTAAAAAAGGCCTTACGGTTGGGTATCATTTGGTAGACGAATTGATTTGATGATTTCATTTGTCTCAGTCTTAAGGCTCTTTCATGTTCTTTGAGCCGGTCTCTCCAATGTATTCTCTGTATTGAACGAGTTTTATTGGTTTTGCGTTTATTACGCAATTTTCTCAGTAACAGACTTCAATATATTGTATTTAAAGATCATTGGGCTTCTTCCATTTACGATCTATATTTGTACAACAAGGCACAAATATTAATAAATAAAGATTTATAATATATAAGCTGTACAATGGAGTTCAGGAATAATTAAAATGCTTAAGCTTAAGATACAGGAAGAAGTTATTTGAAAAAGCTGTTTCGGATATTCTTCAAAAACCGCATATAAAATTTCATGACAAAATTCGCTTGTTCATTATTTTGGCCAATATACAAAATTATTAAAAGTTGATTTTTTTTATTTGTGCCAAGGAAATAAAAATTATTACAATGTGGTCACTTTCATTTATATTCTTAAGTAAAAGAAATAGTTAATTTAGTTCAAGAAAGAAATAACGTTAAAAAATAATTAAAACAATAATTAGTACAAACAAAATGACAATTTATCAAATGTCATCTCGCTCGACTAGTCCTCTGTTTACTTGCCTAAGTTCTTTGTTCAATTTCTTGACAGGCTTGTCTTATTCTAGCGCATCTTCATTTCTGGACCTTATTTTATAAACTTTATTTTGTATCACTTCCCAATAATAAAAATCGGGTGGTGTAATATCAGGAGACATGGGAGGCAATGGTTCAAAAGGGCTGTTAATTCCTATCCAGTGCATATGAAGTTTTTGGAATAACCATTGACGAACAATCCTTGAATACATATCCTGTCGTACATTTACGGGAAGATTTTCTATAGCATCCCATAATTCTCTATCGAAAACTAACCAATACTAAATAGTTCATCAACGAAAAAAAGTTCTTCCAAAATTCCACGCCAGACGTTAACTTTTTGGGAATCTTTATAATTTATAACCCAGTGGCGATTATTTGTGGTCCAGCATTTACAATTCCGAGATGTTACAATCCTATTTATGGCTGATGCAGCCTCATCAGAATATGTCTGTCATTATAAAATTACCTTGGGCCCAATAACAATAATTCAATTACTTATTCGCATCATCTGCTTTTATTGTACATAAGAACTTTATAGGGTTTGATTTTGTGACAGATGGTACATGTGGTTTACTGCTTAGTAATATTCAGCTGAGATGATAAGTTTCAAAAGGCTCATATATGGATTTGCCGCTAGTATGTTGTTATTCTCAAAAAGCGGGTGTATTCGCCGAAGTTGGCAATTCTGATGGTTTTTAATAACACTGCCAGTTTCATTGAAAAGTGCCTTTTGTTAAACTATGTCATGGTATGTCATGTGGTAAAGTATGTCATGGTATGTGGGGTTAGAATAATATTCGAAACAATTTTTTCAAATAACTTTTTCCGATATCCCTAACGCGAAGCAAAATATCGAAAATTGAAGCTGCATCAACTTGTATGACCGTGCAATGAAACTGTTAAACTTTGTCTATATTTTTGATCTTCGCTGAATATATTCCACTAATGTAATGTAGATAAAATTAATATTCGCAAATAAAAGATGTAAATTCTTTTTCATGGTATATAAATTTTTGTTGGATTGAAAGCGCGAATCATTGAGCCATTAAAAATGGGTTTCACCAATAAATAAAAATGTAAATCAAAGCTGGTGACTTTTTAAACAAACGACTTTAGCGCACAACGCGCGTTCCATCAGTAATGTACATTAGCCCTTATCGTCATTTCTTACATTTGCAGCTAATATCATGGCAGGCAGAAAAACCATTCCTGTTATCGTTTCCCCAAATGCTTCGGGAATATTTGATCGGAAGTTCCTATGCTGCGGTCCAAAGGAATCTACCTTCCGATGCCCATAAATTAGTTAACCTTTTACCGTTTACCACGCTGAGAATAGGGAGCGATTTGGAAATCAAAATTGGCGGTAAGCTAGTTTCCTTATCTCAGGATGTTTTGTGGAACGCTTCTATGATGCTGCTGTCGCCACAACAACGGATCGTGCCCTATAGAAGCGATATATGGGTGAAACTATGGGACCAGTTGGCAAAAATAACGAAAGGAAAACCTAGATTTAAACCCAGCCAAGTCGTTGAGAAACTTATGATATCGTTAGTGTGTTACCAGCCTGAGATTCTCTCGAGATCTAGCACTCCTATGTCACCAAGCGGATCGATAGGCTCAGCATCTTCACTCAACGACTTTATCAACAGCCAAGGTTCTAAAAGAACTCAAGTGGACTACTTACCGTTTTATGAAGTGGAAACTTGCACAGCTAGCAAACAGGAGCACATCATATCAGTGGTAATATGCTTAGAAAAAAGACAAATCATTTGATGGATTAAATTTAACTTCCTTGTGATTATTATATTAAACATTCCGAGAAAAATTGGACCCGCATTTAAACTAAATCCGAATGAATTAAAAAATATTAAAATAGGAGATTTTAAGATTTTTATTTGGCATATACGATATAATAGACCTGTTTGTACTTTAGAATCTGCGTGAACTCAGCATGTACCTTCTGAAACAGAGTTCGGATAACCGGGTGAGTAGATTTCAGTGGCAGTTACAGACCCCCATACACGTCCATGCTGTGGCGACTAGATATATAACAGCTCAGCTAGACCAATCGAGGCAACTTTGCCAAATACTATGCAAAGCTGCGACTTACGATCCCAGATGTGAGATCGACAAAGGATTCGTATACATGTAAGTATGACTTTTTAATCTATAATTTAATAATCCGTTTAAATCTGCCACTTGCAGCAGTCAAACGTCTGAAGAAAAACGATACATACTATTCACCATTTTGGAAAGGTACTATTTGGCTTTGGAATCAATCGCATTCCCTTTACCACAAGGTTTTACGTCATTCTTCACGTTTTTGGGTTACAAGACGTTGACGTTTGATTTGTTTCTTCAGTACGTAAATCGAAACGTCTTTGAATTGCAAGTGGACGTAATGAAAATTATAATGGGAGGTAACGAAGATTTTTTATTTAGTTCGATTACTCTAAACGTTTTAATTTGAAAGACATCGACAACAGCAAGACCGGAATTGAAAGAAAGTTGCAGTTACTGCGATTACTGCCAAGATCTAGAGCCAAAAGGTTGTTGAACCAATGGCATTATCCAGTGAGCCTCACAATCAGAGCTAGAGAACACTCCTCAAATATACTTTCCGGTGTAGTAAACCTGCCGACTGGAAAAAATTCACAAGGGATGGAAAAGAAGGGAATTAGAGGTTTAGAAATAATCAACCTAATCAATACTGAACATTTAATCAATAACTTCGCATTTTAGGTATATCAGCTTTCCCCACCGGCGATCAGATGTCGCCACTAGATTCATTTTTGGATTTGCTAACTGCCAAGGCAAGCCTGAACGATATAGACTTCGGTTTGCTAATAGAAGCATCGGAAGTTTGTAACAAAAATATCTCATAAATTGTGCCAAAAAGTTCGGTTGATTTCTCATAAAAAAACTACATAAGAATAAGTTTTTATGTTTTCCAACACACAATTTAAATACGCGGACTGTACTAAAATTACAAATATTGTTAAATTTACTAAGTTTTTGATATTTGATGTTTAGTTACTTCCACAATTGTGATAAAATTATTTATGTAATTAGAGGGTTAGTTAGCCTGATGTAAATCACAAATATATCTAAATCTTTAAGTAGGATGTTATGAATTTTGTGCTGCGTTGTAAGTGTTAAGTGTATTAACTAGTATTAATCTACTTACAATTTTTATTATAACTTGATATTAGACTGTGATAAGTGTGTTGCTTTCTAAAGGACGAAAAAATATATCCATTTTTGGATTTTCTTGTCTAATTTATACCTAAAAAATGTTTTAAAAAAATTTTGGTTGTCAAAAGGTGGAAATTTCAGTGGTAATAAAAATTAATCTGGCTGAGGCAATAATCTCATCACCCCAATAAAATTGCTTGGCTAATGTAGCGATACTTAGGGGGTAGGGGTATTACAATAAAAACAATAATTTTATGCTCATAATTATTTTATTTTGATATCGTATTGGATAAACGAAGACTATATAATTGGTGCAGAACTATGAATCAAAATTTTTGATTAAATTGTGCTTTGTAATACGCGGTGATTACAATTATTTAAACCATCGAGGCATACGGAACTATATAAAATCACCGAGTTTAAAAAAATCCAATTTAATGTACAACAAATTGACGGAATTCTTGTTTTCACGTTTACATAGTCGGGCAAATTTTAAAATTAAACGAAATCCATGTATATATAAGCACATAGCTACGGCTAAGTTGAACCAACATCGCGCACACTTATTTAGTATATTTTTCAATTGCCCAACTACGTACTATATAAATATCACAGATTCTAGAGTACCTAATACAATTTGAGGAGCGATCGAAAATATTCCCAAGATAATTTGTACAATTGAAAAAAAAATTGTAGCCGTCAATTACCGTGAGCCGAAATATTTTCACTCTCCTCAAATAAAACGTTTTTTTTTTCTAGTAATATACATATATTTATAAACAGACTAGACGTTACAACTAGATTAATATTATTGTGACCAGATCGGTTTTGAAAAGTCGGCGCTTCTTATAGTCGAAAATATATAACAATATCTTAATTTATAGATCGATTTCTCGAACGGAATGTATAAATACAGAATATGCCGATGCGTTATCGTATAGCAAAATAAATTGGCACGATTCCCACTTTATGAAATATGGACCGAAATATTAATGGCATATCCCGTATTTTGCTCCTTGAGTTGTTTTTCTTAAGGTCTGTTTATCAAACTAACCTTTGCTTTTGAAAAGTATCTCGCGTTCGTCGGGTTATACCGTGCGTTTTTCATAAGGGAGGTCACTACGAGACGGCAACTACTCAACCAATCCGATAAGAAAAACAATAGCTTTAATGTTAATCGATAAAAAAAAGTCGACGGCCTTATTATCGATTCGATCCACCGAATTGCTATTGAAAATACTCCACTTTTATTATTTTTCTTGTTAATAATGCAAGGATATACGTCAATTAGCACACTTTTAAGTTTTAAAAGCAATGCTAAAATGAAAACGGCATTTTATTTTAAAAAAAGTGTTCTTAAATTTCAGCTGCATAAACACTAAATGCTTTTTCCTATTACTAAAATTGAAATCCAGTCTGGTTAAACTCGGATTTAGAATAGCTGAATAGAATAGTAAGCTGCTCATGCCAAACAATTCATAAAAACCGCAAATTGGTGTAAATATTAATAATAATATATATCAAAAAGGTATGATGAGTGTTAAAAAATAACATGTTTATCGTTTTTTGCAAAAGCTTGTAGTCCGACAATTGTCGATTATGAGTCTGCGGTTATACCCCGTCTTGTTCGATTTTATATCGAAAGGACGTCCCTTACACCAAAACGAATAACATATTTTGGACTTTGGATAATATTAATAGGGAGAGCTACATCAAAAAATGCAATCATAGGAGTTGAAAATGCCTACTCCGTTTATCTTTTGATACGCTCTGCTAAAAGTAATTTAATACGAAACAGAATTATAAAATTACTTAAATACGTTATATTAATTGAGCAGCTAACAAAATCCAAACATCACAACCACTAAGAACGAGTGTTATAAGAAACTGAAATAATTTGACACCATTTTATATAAATATTTTTAATAGCATCAATTTTCTATAGGGGGTGTCGGTAATATTTGGCTAGATGGTTTTGTTTATGGTAATACACATAGACGAAACAATACGGGACCTGCTATTCTTCAACTACGAGCCCTCATGAATACCCAAATTCGCTTTAAACTAGGCCCAATTTAATAAATACTTATTAGAAAAATTCGCTACAATTATAAATTATAGGCTAACATTAGGCACCATAACTTTGGATCCCCGTTTGCAGAAATTCTGTATAATACTCTGAGAAAATGCAGAGTTGTATGGCGACGGCAATATTTTTTAGATCATTTTTGGTTAAAGTCCATGCTCAACGCGCGACTTTGAATATGAAAGCATGATTTTTTACGCGACAATTTAATTAATACAAGTGTTCAAGGTCGACAAAAAAAATACGCATTGTGCGAACCACTGCAGTGCCACATTTCATATAGGCATTATTTATTACCACCTGAGCTCACGCGCGCCTACTAAACATGTGCAACCCTGTCATACAGGACGATACATAAAATTATTACTAATATTTTTTAATAATTCGGTTAAATCGCTATAAAAAAAATAATACCAGTCAAACGAGTTTTCAGGAAATATCGAGAAACCGAAAATCATAATGCATTTGGATACTTCAAAGGATGGCAGTTCTTCTTAATTAAAAATTTGAAAAAATACGACAATATTTCCATCATTCTGATGTACACTTACTCACCTAAAAATTTGGCAAAATGAAAATAGTCAGCTATATAGAACCAAAATATTATAATAATTAACCCTATATTTATTTGATTCAACATCTAGCCAAGTGGACCCATATTTTGTGACATATTGACTATTCAGAACCCCGAAATGGCCTTTTTTTAAAACGATTCCGAGTCAGTTTCTGATATTTCATTCCTAACGCACTTGTTTTTCATCTGTTTTATTATAGGTGGCTTTTGTTTTTGTCATAGGTAATTCGGTCGGCCGGTGCAACATAGTAGGCCCATGTGTTTGTATAAAGAATTTCTACGTTTTTTGGTCCACTGATTCCCAACATCTTCATTTAACGCCGACGATTTCTCTGAAAACATAAATAAAATAAGTTTATTTTGTTTGGACGGATGCTGAAAATTGCGAGCTAGGATAAACAAAGCAAAATATTTACCTAAATTGTTTTCTTGCTTAGGCATGTACTCTCCCATTTCCTTCAAGATATTAGCGATTTCTTGCGAATCTTTTATAATGCTACAGAGTTCCTCTTGGTTGAAGTCCGGCGTTATCTGCTTACAGAGCAAAATTTGGCTGATAACGTTACCTAAATTTGAAGGACCAGCTCTGTTATCTGAAATTGAGAACGATTACTTAATAAGAACGAAGCAATTATTAATTTTGACAATTTGATGAAAAAATTTATCAAAATAAATAAGAACTAAAATTTTCAGATTTTCAAGAAATTATATATTTTGACATGATAATTGTTTCGACAACACCGTGTCTTTATCATTTGATACTTTTAGTTCTTATTTATTTTGATAAATGGATTTTCATCAAGTAAAAGCCACCTCAGTTCAATTTTTGAAGAAGTTTATGCTGTTAATAAAATTACGACATTCTTAGAAATTTTAGTTCCGAAACGGACATCTGATACAATTGGTTATCGTTTGCCAGCCGGGGACTGCTTGCGTTTTCATCAAAACCGTTAAATTGGTTTTATCATGGTGTGTTTACTCCATCCATTACAATGTTATACCCCTCTTTGTTTCAAGCTATTAACGATGATTGGCCAATAAATGTCCTAATAAGCACGACGAACAACAAATTACCGTAATATCCTGACATATCCATGGGTATAATTTGTACCAATCGATGGGACTTGCACAGCTCCCGATGAAACAGTTGCGCCATGAAATATAACATCACAAGATTTTGATTATCGGCTGGTATTCCCTCTTCGACGGCACTGAAATAAGGAATCAACAATAATAACGTTACGCTTATAGACTTAAGTCGTTTTTGCATTGCGTATGGTGACGAGTATAACGATGAGTGTCCTACTGTTGTAAAGTTACTTCTACTAATGAGATTTTTAACAAGACATCTTAATGCTGCCAGGGCAAGGGTCGAAGAAGAAACAACTACGTCACTCGTACTCCAGGACAACTACGACATTTTACACTAATTAGGTGGGATTTTTCAAACAAAGTCGCACTCTGAGAGCCATAAAACGAAACAAGACGCGAAAGGTAAGCAATATAGAGTACACAAGGAACTAAATTATTCCATTATCAAAAATGTGAGCAATCCGAGTGGCGCTAATTTATCATAGCTACAACGTTAAATGCGATTTTTTTCTTGTTCAAAATCTTCTCCCCCTAAAAACTCATAATTTATATTTCTTTACAAATTAGACGCCGAGACATCCCAGGTCGTTAAGTCGTCGATAAATATATTTGCGTTAACGATATTGAATTGTATTATATTTCACAAAAAATCACAAGTCATCATCCGTTACGTTAGAGTTGAGAATAATATAAATTTCTACAAAAAGATATTTTCATTTATGTAGGCGGTAGATGCTCTAGCGAAAACAAGTGAATCAGGAAGAGTTTAAACGCTATCGGAATTTTAAAAATACGTTATGAACCGCTATGAGAACTTTCATGAAACTGTATTTCACTTAACAGAAAATAGTGTCAAGGAAAACTTTCTAAATAATATAGTAACATTAAGGACATTTATATGGGCTGCCAAATGGAAGTTTTACCTTCTAATGTGGGGTAATATAAGTTGACTGGTATGTTTACATGCGTCGACACAATTTCTTCTTAGCTTTCGGATTCTTTCCCTGTGTTCCGGACAGTCTCTAGATTGGCCAATACCGATGAGCAGGTCCCTGAATAGAGCTATTTGGGCATTTATATCCAGGACAAGCTGGAAATAAAAACTATGTAGATCCACCGTCTAACGTACATCGAATCTAGCAAACAAATGCTTGCAGAACTGAGGCGTAATCGTAGTAAAGTATATATATATTTTTAAACTATTCAATGACAATAACAAAATTAACACAATTGAAAAGTCTTAAAATGTAAATTTGGGGGGATTTCTATAAATATTGTGAATACGATACGAACCTTACGGGCAGAAAAATAAAACAAGATCTACGAACGAATTTCAATACAGCAAAGGTATGAAAATTAGACCAAGACCAACCGAATCGACTCAAAGTTTAATTAAAAATGTTGGGCATGTTTTATTCGGAAACTGATTAATTTGCCGTTTGGGCACCTTCGAAATGAAAATTCTACGGCAATGGCTAAAATGTTTGCGTAGGTAAGAGGGGTACGGCGAATTGCAAATATAAACAACTTCGCACATAAGTTAAAAGGCTATTACTTTGCACCCTAATTAAAATTAATTTGACGTTCTTTTGCTTATGCATTTATGTTATTTTCAGCCACGAAACGTAGTTTGTCGCTTCCATTAAGTGGGAATAAATTATCCGTGACTAAAAACAGAAAAACGAAAAATAATTCAAGCGTGTGTTTGGAAATATTGGATGTGCAACAACTCAATTTTTAGCGGAACTGGAAAATAAATTGTGTTCCCAAAAATGTATGCACTGTAACTCTCGACGATATATTGTGCCAAAGTATATAAAATAATGCAAAGCGATTATTCGATTGGACGTAAAATGTTCAATTTTTTAACGAAAATTTGTCCATAAATTGCAGTGACATCCGTTTCACTTCATATTTTCATAGTTTCGACCTAGGGGTAATACTGTAAATAAGAATTCTTCTGCGGTTCACCTCTCGGTTGAGGAATATGATCCTGGTGGAACCTTAAAAGACAAACTTTATTATTTAATTACTTAATTAATAATATTTATTTTTTGTTTTATATTATATTGGCCTTGGGAAATTAACGTTTTCGGCGGTTTTGTTTCCCAACTTCACATCAGAACGCCCGTGTTATTGAAAACGTTCACCAAGTTATTCAAAAGGGAAAAGTTATTTCCACAGCGCATACAGTTTGGCCGAAACTTTTAAATGTTAATCTTTTGTGTGGGTAGTTAGTTTCTAGCTGCGAGAATGGAATTACATTTTCAGTGGATTCTTACTTCCAGAATCAAAGTGTTTTGTATTTAGATTTATTTAAAATAAACCCTAGGGCGTTATACCAGGACTTCTCTTATCTACATTGGGTTTTAGCACAAAATGAAAGCGAAAAATATGCGTACAAGAAACTCAATCCGCACGGAATAAAAGCAAATATTTAAATTCAAATTCAAATAGTAAAAGTATTTAAAATGAATCTCCATCCCTATAGTTATCTGATAACGAGGGGATTCTTTTTTTATTTTCTTTGATTTTAAATTCCATTATACCACGTGAGTGGAATCAAATTAGACCGGAAATAACTTTTCTCGATATGATTTCACATTCTCATTAGGAAATGGTGGGCTGTATCAAGGCAGCCTCAGACATATCGACTTTTTCATTCGTTTCAATAAGGACCATCGGAGAAAATATTTTATCGAAGGTTTTTAAATGGGGGAATAAAGGCACTTCGGCCCCAATCGTCAAAGGCACACCGTCATATAAACATCATTTTAGATAGATAGCTAAATATATGGATAGATAGATCGATAGCTAGATAGATAGAAAGATAGACCTTTATTTAGTTAGTTTTTTATAAGCTATAAAAAAAACAAGAAAAGTGAAGATAAAATTTCACTAATTCATACAAACAAATAAACAAACAAAATAACAGAGCCCCATACAGCACTCACCCAAATATATTTTTATTTGTAAATTATATATTATATTTTTCATTTTATTTCGGCTTTAACAGATGTTTGGACTCCTCTGGACAAGGATTGCAGAGAAGTAACCCAGCAAAAATTGGTAATTGCTTAGGTTATTGATGTAATGAAAGGTATAAGGGTACTAGGTCACTAGCACTGCATGAAGAATCGTTTTCTGGTATTGCAGCATATTGTGTGTCCACTGGAGCGTTGTTAGTAGACTTGGTTGGTGATTCTATGGTTTATTCATGATATTGTTTTATGGGTTCTTGAAGAATATTGTTTTTATTTGTTATTTTTTGTTTCATGTGTGTTCCTTATGAATCAACTAGCATTTTTTATTACATCAGATAAGTAAGTACTATTTTGTTTAATGGTATTAAAAAAGTTCTTTTTTCTGGCTTAGTTAAACTTCATTGACTTTAAACCAATTTAACGAAGTTTGCCTTATCGTTGATGCTCATTTAATTAATTTAGAAATCATACTTTATTTGTAATCAAGAAGAGTTGAACATCGTTAAGAAGGTACAGTATTGGAAAACTACGGTTTTTAAATAAATAAACAACTCAATAAACATCTACGTTATCCGTCCCGAATTTCCTTTATTTAATCCGGAATTTGTATCTGAACAAGCGAGATAAACGTCTTTTTGATCTTGGAAGAAACTTTAAGGGACCCTAGCATCCATATATTAGCCCGTTTCACTTGCCTGAGTAAACTACCTAAAGTCGGACTTCCGACGGTCTAATCGAACAATTAATTTAAAACATTTGAAGCGAGATTAAATCAACCTGTCCGACGCGTTTAAACCTTTCGTTATAAACGAATCGAATCCCAGTATTTGGATTGCTCTATTACTATTCGAATATTCCATCCATGTTAAAATTTAAATTATTTAATGAGAACACGTTTTCTTCTTTATCGCGTTTTTCGATGTTCCGGATAAAAGGCTCGATGACTGACGACTTTTGCGCGTTACAGGATGGCGGGGAGGGATTTTCAGCAACGAACTTTGCATTTATACACGGTAAAAAAGTGACAAAAACGTTTGCAAATATAGTAACCATCGATGAAAATTATTGCACGTATAGTGCCAAGAGCAATGCAGAAGTTAATTTAGTTCAATTATATTGCAGCCACCCAAATTCGTTGTTACAAAGTTTACCACATCAATCTAAAGATTTTGTCAGCTTCGTTTTGAAATTATGTTTTCGTAAATATCACAATAACAACAAAGTAAGAATTCAACAACACTGTAATAATTAATTATTCTAATAAAATATATATTTCTCCAACAGTTGGAGAGTTTTCTGTTATAATATTTATTACATAGAGTTTCAAATTGTTTGTACGTTTAAAACAAGTTTTGTACTTTCCCATGATGCTACAATTATAATAACAAACAACCATATTGTATTGTAATGTTGTTGTTGTTTTGAAGTTACTCCTTTAAAGGTTATTTGGGTTTGCGTTCTAATTTTCCATAAACAATGGTAAATACTACCGGTTTTTGGTGAAACAAACGTTATTTCTGTAAAAAGTTCCAAAATACAGTCCGAAGCGTTAACACCTTGTATCCGGAAAATCACTTTCCCGGTTTTTAAAGGTCATTTACTAAATACGTCCTACATTATTTTTTATATTTAGCCGTTTATATTTTATCGCTGCAATTTAAAAATAAAAATAAACCAGCTTCGAAATTTTTAAAGGTTTCTTCGATGATACAATAACAAGTCGCGCGCCCGTCGACATAAATCCACATAAAACGAATGTTTTCGTCAAAAAATGATCTACCAAAAAAGTTGAGAACGCGGAAAACAAATCCATTAAAAGTCCATATAGAGTTACAGAGTTCCCGTCCCCTTTTATTGCAGAATTTGCCCTGAATTTTAAACCGCAAACTTCAAAATGCCAACGCGTCGAAGGTACATATTTTTTTTTGTCGAAGAGTAGTCCACGTGAAACTTCAACGAATCGACTTATTGATATGAATAATAAAACAGGCAAAAGTAATTTGGTTGTAACGATGTTTAACGACCGGTGAGTTGAAGTCGCCAAATTAAGGGTGCAGAATAAAGCTTGAGGAATATCAGAAAAATGTTTATTTTTAGTAAGTCGAAATACAAGTTTGACTGTAACATTTCACCGGACCAATCAATATATTATTATAATTAAGTTTAATTTCCATTTGCCATTAAAATAATCCGTACGTATTCAAAAGTGACACAATCCGTATTTGAATCCCATACGGCAACGTATTATTATCGCTGCCCAATTATTATGAATATACTGTTTAAAACAGGCTATTTCGTATTAAAACAGGGTTAAAAGAAACTTGGGGGTATAAAATTTGCATGTTCCGCCGAGCGTATTTATTATAAGAACTTGAATAAATTAGCAATATTAAAACCATAACGGGGAGTTTCTTAAGGCATGCACAGAAAGGTTACATTTGCTGTCGCTTTCTGACGACAAAATTGCATTGCACCTAGTTTAAGCTTAAAGATAACGGAAAAAATACAAATATAAGATACAAATTTTTTAAATATTTTTATCTGTAATATTTTTATTTGTGTTTGTAAAATGTATTATTGACCAAAATATCTTACGTTCTATTCGAACTTTTTAACAGGTAGATGGTTTAACACCTGCATTGGGATTGTGGTAACCTAACCCAGAAAAATGGGTGATTGTTTAAAATATCTGGGGGACGAGATCCAATCTTATACCAACATCTATTTTGATTCTATTTCTTAAAGGATTCGGAATAATTTCCCATATTATTTTTCAAGAAACAAATAAAAAGCAAGCCTTTGAAACTTTGGGAATAATTTATGCTATAATTGTAATTGAATTGTTGAGTCCATTATATATTGGCACATATGTTGGCACACGATCGTATATTACTTCTGCTACTATAACTATTACTATTCCAACTGGAATTAAAATTTTTAGATGATTATAGGGAACATCATTAAATTTTAAACCTACCAATCTTCGATCCATGAGATTTATTTTTTTTTATTTATTATTTAAGATTGACCGGAGCAATTCTAGCTAATTATACTATATAATAAAGAATAATATCTTTATGACTTATTGCATTTAATAATGATATTATTGTGTTCGCATTGGAGAACTGGAGTGCTAGGAAACTAGGGATCGAAAAAGAATTAGCTTAGTAAAAAAAAGGCTATAATTTATTCTAGACAATCTAAAAACGTCTGCAGACCGCGTTAGAATTCATTTAACGATTTCTACGGGCGTTGATACTAGAATAATTAATGTTGGTGTTACCTGCGGTTAGTTTGCCGAAATTGTTTGTTTTGCAACTGGTTTTGTGGTTTTATTCGACTCCCATTGTGCAGTTTGTCGAGCAAAGTTGTATTATTAGCCAATAATTATTGGCAAAACTGGTGCTCTGCTAAACAATAAACCTCGTTTAATTCGTTACAAGCCCCCTGCTTATGCATTAGTACTACTGTTGGTACTATTTATTCACCACTTTAATCAGATTTTGGAAATGAAAAATAATTAGTAAGATTGTTTATTTTTATTTCAAACCTTCCCGAGAATAACTGCCAAACCTTTTAAACTCATTTCCAAATTCGACTTGAAATATTCAACCCGAATGATTCAGTTTTTCTTTTAATTTCACTTTTAAAACGTGCGTTAAGTTGACTTAGTAAACATGCAGCGAGCACACCTCGTTTTTAAGGTAGACAGATTTAAAATTATCTGTACTTGGAAATTGGACAGTAACAAATAGAAATGAATGTATTTTTTAAACACAAAGAAAATATCTTTAATTTCTTCTGCGACGACCTACCGAATTGAGACTCTTTTTTCGTTCCCGATCCTGAGGATGGTGATGCAGCATTCCGGCCGAAACACCACCGGGAGCTCTATAGGTTATAGAGCCAGTTCAAGTTGAACAGAAGACGTAAGTAACGCGACTTGGAGCGTTTGAACGCGAACCCGCTTACGGAGGACGCCGCGAGTTGATTGAACACACTGAAAGAGAATTTACCGGCTCTGGCATTGAATGCTACGCGCACTGCAAGAAGGGCAAGGTGAAAATATATACGCTATATTGCAGAGTAACAAACGCAGCTGACACGCGTTTTGCTACTTCTTCAGTAGACGAGACCGGTTAAACGATCACTCTAAAAAAATCGCAAGTAATGTAACATTTAAACAAGAACTGCAACTAATTCACCCACTATAATATTTTTGGTTGCTCATTTATTACGAAAAATATAAAATTAAAATCATTAGCCACTAATGTGTCGCATTTCTCACATCCACCAATAATTCTTGTCATACTTTTCAAAAATTTTCTACCCGTTCCAACTGATGTGGAGATGAAAACAATTTGTTTCTAACATCCTTTACGTCTATATTACTTTGCTTATTTCATTCATACTTGAACCATAGCAATGTTTCCTAAACCTCATTATTTTTCTTGTTTCACAACATGAGTGTTTTTTGAATGTTAAAACTAATAATAATAATACCTATGAGCCACTTCAAAATGTTCATATATGTGAAGTCCTAATTTTGATGCGAAAATATTTAGTCATAAATTGGTAATTGAGACCAAAAGCGCAGTTGTCATGCCTATAAAAATTTACAATGAAAGGGTTTAAAGATGGTTCTGTCATACCTTTTATGAGTTTTTGGGAATGTGATAATAGTTGATTATGATAATTTTTTAAATAAATAATTAATAGAATTTTATTATTTATGTTTATTACTTCTTTAGCAATTCCTTCGAAGGGACGCAAATGACCCCGCATCGGACATTTTTTATTTAGTATTATCATTTAATTTAACATTAAAAATTACGCTTATTAATGAACTCGGTGACGAATTAATTGTTGGAGACTAATTAATTTCATTAACTATATAAATAGTAAAATATGGAAAATTTTATTGGAAATTTCAATGTGAAAATGTAACACAATACTTTTGGAAGTGCTGGTTTAAATTTGCGAATTTTCGTGTCGAAATTACCTTTGTAATAGAGTTAACATTAGGAAAAATAGTCCAGACAATTTTAGTTCAGCAGCATGTAAATAAAGACTTCGCAACATCTGACAACCTTTAAAAAATGTCTGGAACAGTTCCTGCAGGACTATAGTCTGTATAGTGTACACGGAGCTCCGATGTCTTTCTATCTCTCACTATTCCAAAGAAAGTTACTTAAAATTGGTTCTACTATGGTTCATTTGCTGTGTTTATTGGTATTTTCATATTACGTTTTGGATATAAAAAACCTGTATTAATCTGTATTTATTACTATTGTTATTAACAATAACGTTAACTATGACAAATTCTTGAATGTCTTTTCCTTTTTCTAAGACTTAGCGGGTATATTTTTTTAATCAAACACGACTCGGCTTGTAGATATGGTAATTAAGTATATTTTTCCAAAAAAATAAATATCTAGGGCAATACAGCGAAAGAGCAATTTAGGTTAATAGTGAGAGCGAATTACATCTCCACCAGTAACGAACTAACGACAGCAATTGAGTCTTGTACTGGAACGAATTAGCAAAACAAATCCAATTAATACACGTGCGCACATAGAGACGAAACAACCTAAAGGCATACAAAAATTGCCCGACTGATTAGGAAGCTATTTATGGCGACGGAAAGTAAAACAATTTTTCCTGATTCGTCCAATTTCAATCGAAAAAAGACACCGCGTTCGTTAGAAGCCGAACAACAAAAAAAAAAACAGCATTATGGCGGCCCATAGTCAACTCTCGTAATTTCTTTGGCGAGATTATGTGTTGTGTCTGATTGGTCCATAATGCCTCTGTTTTTCCCACCTGGTTTAATTGCCACTGTCATCGTAACAATGTAAAATACCGAAATGGTGGCCATCAACTAAATTAATCGACTCGTAAAATTAAAACACGTTTCGCGTCCCACCGGGTATGTTATTTATTCGATACTAGCAATGATTATTAAATTTATAGCAAAAATCTATGGATCTATCCATATCGCATGATTTACTCATTCATGCTGGATACATTTAATTGGGTTTGAATAATTTTTCATTTTTATTTATAGGAAACTCTAATCCGAAATAGTTTTGAAAAAAATCAAATTTTCAATATAAATTAAATGTATTTTATGTTAAGGTTGTTAAATTTAAATTAACTTTATTTTTTAAATTTTTCGCGTAGCACCTATAGCCAGGCAAGATAGGAGAAAAATCTTGGGCGGTAATTACATCAACTCGAATGAGTCACAACATTTAAAGGAATAGGAAACAGACCGAAGCAAATAGACCTATTTTTTAAATTAACTAATGGTTACATTTATAACTTTAATGCTCTCCCTCTCCGCCAGTGTCTTGGAGAAATCTTTCAAAAATCATCATTTAATACTCGCCGCTAAAAACGAATTCGTAAATGACTTCCGAACGTGTATAATTAATATGTCACGCATCTAATATAAATTCGAAGGGTGCCGCCATTGCCGAGGGTTTGAATTTTTGAACATTTAATTAGGCATCAAATTAAGTTTCTAATTTAAACTTCGCGCTATACTTCTTGCGATTTTGAACTTCCCGACTTCCGACGCCGGGCTTATACGTAAATTTATTAGTAAAGTTTTAAAATAACAACATCGGACACTATACCAATAAACGCAACATTGTGTGGGGGGGGGAGTTATCTACCTAGGGGGGTTTTTGAAAAAGGGGCGGGAAAATGAACCGAAGAGGAGCAAGAAAAAAAAACCTACGCAAAACATTAAAAGGGGGGAAGCCAGAGCAATAAAATGCGAATGATATAGAAAATTGATGATGGATACGATAAGAAAGCGCGGCATGAAAATGCGTTTTCAATTCGTTTTATGGTTGTTGGCGTTTGATAGAAAAAAAAAGCAACGCTTCTTAATAATTATTGTTGGCGATAGATAATTTCTAATGCTTCAGTTTAATAATTATTGCGTAATTCCACATTTCTATTAGAAAGTTTTTGTAAACAGAACTCACCGGCAAAACTGTGCACCCGACAATTGTAAGTTATTATTCTGTCCATTCCAGGGCCTTATGTTAACGCAACCCGCTTAACAGCTGCAAAACTACGCATTTATAACAAAGGGCACTCCTATAGACAAACATGGTATGTGTGTTTGAACAGGAATACGAATTGCAGTTACAATTGGTTTGTTTCCGCACGTAATAATTCATTATCGTTTAAAAATCTTTCCTTCCTTCCATTGGAAAGAAAATCAAGTTTTTCTAATGCCATGATCCCGGTTACTACTTAAGGCAATAATGTAAAAAATGAATAATTGTTATGTACCTTGCAGGAATATATACACCGTTGTGGTCACGAACGGCGGTTAAAACGTCAAAGGGTAAGGGCAGTAAATCCTTTATTTTATACCAGGAAAACAATAAAATTGTTTTTTTATGGCGGAATATTCTGAAGTTAAATGAACTGCATAAAATTACCATTATTAAGTATCGGACTTGTTTCTTTAACTTTTCCAATAACTAATTCAGCCTGTCATCTGATTCAATCAGTATCGATTTGGTTAATTTTTAAATCGACGTAGAGTATAAAATATAGCGGGGGTAGTTTCAGAATAAACTTCTTTTAATTATACCGGAATAATAAAGCGAACTCTTTAATTTGCACTAGGCTACGTAACAAATCCAATTATAAACTTCAATTTTTCCCAAGAAAAAGTCGCTTTAAATTACTAGCAGTGCCGTTAAAAACGATTTTGTAACTCTGTAACCGCCATGATCGTATTAAAGCATCAACTTCTGTTTAAAATGTTTTAAAAATTTTATTACCTTAAACTGAAACTTACGCCGTTTTTTATTTTTTCCACGCTTTAATTCTGTCTGCATTTCGTGCGATCTAAAGTGTTTAACCAAATTGCACGATGTAGCGGAGTAGTTATCATTATATTTGCTTTTCGTACTTTGAATGCTGCGCCAATAACTTCTGTTGAGCTTTATCTGTTATTTACTATTTTATGAACAGCCCCACCTCATTGATATATTAAGTATTTCAGTACGCAAAGAAGTAAAGCTTTACTGTGATTTCAAATGGCTTTCTCAAACAATTTTAAAAGCAATTCTTTACCACGTATGTCTCACGCTTCACCTACAATTTTCTAGCATTTCTTCTTCTGTCAGGGCTCACCAGAATATGATAAAAGGCACTAACCAAAATTGCGCTTCTATGAAACACTCAAATCCACAATAATTTATATTATACACGACGTTGCAAAACAAATGCATAAAATTAAGGGGGTGATTCTTTGTTTAAATTTGTTAAATGAATATTGTGGCAAAAGCAAATCATTAGGGAGATATCACGCACAAATAATGTCTATATTTTTTACCTTAAAAGCGAAAATAGAACAATAAAATATTACAAAAATGTCATCATTATACAAATTTATTTCCTGCATATTTTTCTATTTTTGTTTTTCAATAAGATTGGGACGATTGAATTGGACTACCCCTATCATTCTTCTTAACCAAATTTGAGGAAAAACTTATGCAGTGACAAAAAACATAATGTTTTTTATTTAGAAACATTTTTGTCTACTGCATTTTCTTCATAATTCTTACTGTTTCCGAATAAGAAAAACAAGATAAAAAAATGTTGTGCGTTGCTTTAAATTCTTAAGGCGTTTCTTTATTTCAAATAAAATATTTACGATCTAATCATTTAATAGTTCAGTACAATGAATGCAGGAATGTCATATACGCATGTCTACCTGCGCCAAAACGGAAACTACTTAGAGGTATAAATGCATTTATTATATCGGAAGACAAGCATTTTCAACACTTACTTTGTATTTTTATATGTTGCCTTAAGTGCTTTGTTTATTTATTTTGTTTTTATTTGAGTGACATTGTTTAAATAAAAGGTTTTTAAAGAAGGTTGTGCTCATAAATACATCAATTAATTTCAAAAATATTTATTAATACATTATTTTTTAAACTGTAATTGTCTAGAGATAAATAT